GTATGTCACCTCGATCTACTCAAGTATTTATTTCGATTTATATTTTGATTTATATTATATTTAATACAATAAATACACCGTTCGACAAAAAGACCTTTTTTCAGGTTCGGAAATTACCAAAACGTATCCTTATAAATTTTTTTATGCTAATTACGAATCCGGCCGCGAAAATTGCGTATTACGTCAGGTTTTGTAAATATGTAAAGATGAGAAAAAAAGCATTTTAGACACTTTTCCGTAAAATATAACTTTTAATTGGGACGTGATAAAAAATGCTACGAGGGCTCAAAATAAAGCTTAAGACTTGTAGGTTGTGCAAAAAATGTAAAAAAGTTCGAATTTGGGGTTTTTTGAGAAAACTAAATTAAGAAATTAAAAGTATCATTTTTCGCACTTTTCTTTATACTAATACATAGTCTTTAGAGGTACGGTAAAATGGCTCACATTTTTTTTTACAAATATGAATATGTCAAAATGTCTTCAATTACTGATAAATAATGATTCATATTTTTAAAATTAGAAATAGCAAATCAAAGTTTCAAAAATTTAATGTTAGTGAAAATAAGTAGGTAAAGATTTATTTATAACTTATATTAAATTTGTGAATTCGATTTTTGATCAAGCTATTTAAAAAATCTGGCGTAATACGCAATTTTCACGGCCGGATTCGTAATCAACATGAGAAAATCTATACGAATAAGATTTAAAAATTTCAGAATCTTTTTGAGTGTCGAACAGTGTTATTAAACATATATAATAATTATCAACGTTCACTCACGAAAATATTATATCTGCTAAAAAGCAATGAATAAGCAGTGCCTTTCATCTTTATTTATTCTTGTGAAGTATAAATGAGAAAGTATATGTATATTAATAAAAGAACATATATTCTGTTGTATACTTAACATATTTTTAAACAACTATACACATGGATAATTTTTTTTGATTGAATTTAAATTCGTGGTCTCGGCTATCGTAAATATATATATACAGATCAACAAGCACATGCGCTAATTGTATAAAAACAGTTTATGTAATTATTAATCATTATTTTTACGTAATTAAATACATGTATAATTTCTTATATATAATACAATATAAACTTCGGCTCGTATAAAATTAAAATATGTAATAAATTAAAAGGCCAACTTAACGAGCTAATAAGATGTTAATTAAATTTTTTTATTATATGTCATAAAATAATATTACAATTGATAAACGTTTTGGCTGTACGACAGTTTTTTTCAATATTATTATCGCTATGTTAATAAGTCAAAGAATTAAATCGTTTGGTAAGACCGAACATATTATAAATATAAAATCTATCGGCTTATAATGTGAAAAACGCAGTAACAAATTTCATGCTTGTTGACTTGAGATAAATCGCCTACTCTCGAACATCAGATTTCTGTAGTTCATGATGTTATAGTATGTAATATGCTGTGAAATTATTGATGTGTCAGCCCGAATATTAAATATTAGATTTTTAAAAATAATGATTACTTACGTCTGTGTCGAGACGATAAAATATTTCTTTTTAAATAACATTGTCACAATGTGTACTTTTTGCGAAGCTAATCAATATCTGTAAATCGCAATGTCAGAGCGCTGTATATATACCTCTTTGCTATGATGACATAGACAATTTTTCTAAAATATCAAAATAAGAACCGTCAAGACGCTCGGTGTCCTTTTTTAAGTTGATACTGTTTTTTTCTTCTTTAATGTGTATCATTTCCGATATCAACCTTTTATAATAATTCTTTTTGTAGTCTAAGATTTTTGTTTCGCTCCAATTAAAAGTATGTGTAAACTTTACGATATGGTCAGAAACCACCGAGTGTCTTGCAGAATCTAATCTGATATTATTTTTATGTTCATTTACTCTTGTGCCTAATTGTCTTTTCGTTTGTCCCACATATGTAGCATCGCAATCATTATACGATATTTTATATATGTCACCGGAATTATTATGACGATCATCTCTGTCTTTTTGTGTTTTTATGACTTTATTTAATTTTTTTAAACTTCTGTATCCTACTGTTATATTAGATTTCCTTAACTCTGATGCTACTGATTCCGAGATTCTTTCAATGTATGGTATCGCTATAAATTTTTTCTTCTTATTATCATTATTTATGTCATCGTTATTCACATTATGAGTCATTTCTGTGTTTAATTTATTAACAATGAGGGACTTCAGTCTTTTATTAATTTCTGAGAAAATGAGATCGAGAGGGTAACCATTACTTAATAGAATCTCTATGATTAATGTTAAATTTTTGCTGTGAAAAATAGGATGCGATAAAAGTATTGATCGGTCTACTAGATTATATATTACACTTTTTTTATGGCACATAGGATGATTTGAATAATATGAGAGTGTTCTACCTAAAAATGTTTTTTTCTGAAACCAGTCAATGTGAATTACGTTATTTATGATTTTGAGTGAAATGTCTAAAAACTTATGCAACGGTTGTCCTCTCGTTCTATTGTAAATTTTATTCTATCGTGACAATCATTAAATTTTTCCAATAAATATGAGACCTGATCATCCGGCATGCAAACTAGAATGTCATCTACATAGCGATAGTAAATCTTACATTTACATTAATTATATCGAGTATCCTAGTTTCTAAATCTTGCATGACAATATCCGCTATGATTGGAGACAGAGGCGATCCCATAGGGTTCCATGTATTTGTTTATAAATAGTATCATTAAATGCAAAGTACGTTGAATTTAAAATGAATTTAATTATATTGACAAATTCGTTTTTGTTAATTGGTGTGTGTTTTTCGATATAATGCCACCTGTTATTTATGCTGTCTATTGCAAGGTCCAATGGTACATTCGTGAACAACGATATTACATCCAATGATACGATTGTTTCATTGTTGTTTAATTTAAGATCAGACAATGCGTTATACAATTCAAAACTATTATTCACATGACTATTCCAACTCAGTTGGAAGAGCAGTCGCCCGGCAAGCGGAAGGTCTCGGGTTCGATTCCCGATTCAGCCGACTTTCGGACCAATATTTTTCTCGCCTATTTCTTTACAGGGGATGTTAAGAGAAGGAACAAGGGGAATTTTTGAGATCCCAACCATAGGATTCAAATTCCTTAGTTTCCAAATTTTCTTTCTTTTTAATTGTCGCAATAACATCGCGTTTGGCTCTATTTTTCTGGTCGAGAGGAATGAAGTGTAGATTGTGGTTTTAAAATTAAAAAAGCTGACTTAAAAAGTATTCTTATTATAAAATATATATATATAATATATATATATATATATATATTTGACAGGCATATATATATATATATATATATATATATTTGACAGGCATATATATATATATATATTTGACAGACATATATATATATATATATATATATATATATATGCCTGTCCTGTAATCAATTTAGAAATTTAATTTAAAAAAAAATTTGAAAAATATAATGTACACTAAAATATATTGTAATTAAGAGTGCATTAAAAGTTGTTTCAACATTGGAACTCAAGATAATCTTTTAAACATTTTTCCGATAAAAATAAAATCTGCGATGGTTTGATCGACGATATTGAAATATATCTTAATTAATTATAAAGTCTTACCGAGTGCTTTCTCTTTGCCAAGAGTGACCCAAACAACAGAAGTGCAAAAATATCATTTATCAGTAATACAGATAGAGAGCCGTTGCCACCCGGAATACGATGTAACGTCAAAAGATAGCCATCTTCTGTCGTTACAATGTGAGTTTCCGTGGGATAACCCGCTTTTCTTATTATCTGCAGCTGAAGAATTAAGTAAAATCAGTAAAATAAGTATATATTTATTTTTACATAATAATTGTGTTTCTATACACTAATAATAACATAAATATAAAATATTACATATATAATATGTAATTAATATAAAGTATAATTATATAATAACAACAGTAATAAATATTTATAAAATCCAACATAAATTTGAATAAATATTAATAATATCTAATAAAGTATATAATTATAATTTTTAGGGTAAAGTATTTTTACATAGTAAAATGTAAAGCTCAATTGTAATTGTTTTAGAAAGAAATTGTAGAGGATTATATTGTTGTCCATATTTCTTACATATGTATATCATCGCAAATGAAATAATTTTAATGATTATTGCGTTATTAGAATATACATATAATTATGTATTTACTTTTATTCATATTAAATATACTTTAATAAATATCATTAAAAAGAAAAAAATTGCATATGACGTGTAATATCTAAGAAAACTTTATTTAATCTATACTAATAATATATAAAAAGGTAAAGTTTGTTTGTTTCATTGTTTGGGGTAATCTCAGAAACTACTAGACACTCAACCGATTAAAAAAAATCTTTCATAGGTCAATAACTTAGATCTTTCTGAGTAACATAGGCTATATGCAATCGTCTTGCAAACTTCTAAAAATGTGCGCGTATTGTACAACAAAATTCTTTACGTTCTTTACGCTTTATATTTTTCCAACAATTTTATAATTTAACGTTGCAGCGTAAATAATTCATACTATATTATCAGCTAATAATTTATAATCTACACAAATGATCAAAGCCGGATCTAGATATTTTCTCATCCGAGACACTATTAGCAATTGACGCCCCTTTTTTCTACATATGCACAAATGCATGTCAAAATAACATAAGCTTGGTAGGTACTTGAATTGCTACATATTAATATCATTTTCGCATTTTTATAAAAAACTTTTTTAAAAAATTGTTCAATTTATTGTTCATTTCTATGCCCTCTCATGTCTTTCATCCGAAACGAGTGCTTCGCGCGATCTAGATTCGACTTTGCAAGAAACATTGAAGGAATATTGAATTGATTAATATATTTAAATCATTGAGAAGATTCTATGGTATTTAATAGCGGTTGGTCACCAGTCAAGAATGAAAGCTAATTGAGTGCAAACATGTATAAGAGGAGAAAACTTACTATGGTAAAAACGATAAAAATATTATGTGTTTTACTATAAATATTTATGCTAATGAGGACGGCATTCACGTCCTCTTCGAAGGATCAGGAAGATTGTCTAACTCAGGTCAGTTTGCCGAAAATTTATTTTTTGATACACTCTGATCTACACTTAAAGAGTGCTTTACACGATGCTGTTTTTATTTGCTTTGAGTAAGTTTTTTAATTTATCAGCGAATTTGCTGATAGAAACTTTTTCTAGATGTTCGTTTTTTATTCTTTTTATTGCTAGCTTTTCATTTTTGATTCAAAACGAATTTCTGGCTGAGACGAAGTCGTTACCGTCAAATCATTTATACGTTGTTGATAAAGAAAAATAAAGTCATAAGCGTTTTAGCAAAAATTTTTCTCGCATATGCGCAGGATGCCGAATTATTTGCTATTTGCCTGGTTATTTATTCGCTATCATCTTTACACGGAGCGTTTTTTGATGCTGCTGCTAGTCGCTCAGTTAGTTCGCTTGACGAGAGCGTTAATTATTTTATTATTAATATTAGACGTCGTGATTAAATTAAATGTTATATATACTACAGACAATGGATTGTTTGTGATATTAATCTTGCATGTCACTATTTATGTAAAATTAATGATATAAAAAAGTAAAGTGTAATTTTACGTCATATATTTAAAGATTGATGTTATATTGTTACACATTTAAATTTAATTGTAATGAATATTTAAACTTAAACGTAACATATGTTGATAAAATTGTTTTGTTACGAATTGTTAATATTAATGATTTTGTTATTCATTCCATATATCTTCTGTTACATGATAAACATACATGTATGTATATCATATTTTTTATACACACATTCTCATATTATTTTCTTGTGATGTCTAAAACTTTTCTCAAATATTTATATTTATTAATTTTGGTGTAAAATTTTTAAGTAAGTTATTTATTATTTAAAGTAATCAATATAAAAAATTAGGACTTTTCAGGATAAATTGCATGCGTAGAAAACTACTAAATATTGAAATAGGAGTTCGGTACAATAAATTGCGTTCTCAATCAAACAGTTTCAAGGCCAATAATATACACAGCAGCTATTGTTTTTTATATGTTCAAGTTGATATACAATTTATCATTTAAAGTATACGTTAACACATATGTGTACATGAAATTAATATAAAAACTAAATTATTAGACAAAATTGTTTTAACAATTAAAGAGAACCGGGCTTGTAAGACTCACAGTTATATATATACAAAGTGTCCGGTAACTAACGGACCAACAATTACAAAGGGATTCTTTGGTCAATTTGGGAACGATTTTTCCTCAGCGAAAATGTCGAAAAAGGTCATAATTTTTTACAACTTACCAATATTTGTCAATATGTATCTTTATAACTAAGCCTCAAATTAAAAATTTATTAGAGTAAACTCTACCTGAAATTAACTGAAAAATGTAATTATATTAGACTTTTAACTTCAAAACGTTTAGTTTTCAAAAAACCCATTGTTTTCAATCGCTTATAACTCGAAAATTATTGACTTCTCAACATTTTTGCTAAGGAAAAATCGTCTCCAAATTGGCTAGAGAATCCGCCTTTAATCATTGGTACATATAATTGAGTATACATTTTGCTTCAAGGAGAATCTACACCATCTTCAGAAAGCATTCCAAGCGAGCCAACATGTCCTAGAGCATTCGTGGAATTTAACGACAGACTAAATCAGAAAGACATTATTGTGACATTCAGGTAAATAATGAATACTTGCGTTTTTAAATCTGGTACTTTGCAGTGTTTTAAGTTTTATTGTATATACAATACAATGTGTACATACAGTGTATATACAGGGGTTTCTTTTAAGCGGTGCTCAAAATTTGAAGAATGGATTCCTTATGCTGATAGAGAAGAAAAAAAGGTATAGGATATGTAATGAACATAGGTCCGAAAAAGATTAGTTTTTTAGTTATTTAGATTTATGTAATACAAAATTTTTGTCCCATTTCTTGTCTTACAATTAGAGGAAATGTTCTAAATGTCCACCATGTCTGTAAACATAGACCGGCGGACTTGAAAAACATCGTTGATACCTTTAAATGAGGACTTTTAAGACGAGAAATGAGACAAAAATTTTTTGTTACAAAAATCTTAAAACTCAAAACTAATCATTTCCAGACGTATGTGTGTATAACTTTTGTCGTCTCTAAGTATGAGAAATCCATTCCTGAAATTTTGCCACTACATATGAAATACCCTGTATATGGAAGGTGGTACAAAAAAAAATCAGAACGGCGAAAAATCTCGAAAATATTACATATACTTTATGAAAAAAATGTTCTAAATAAAAATTGTAGGATTTCAAAAGAATTTTTACTTGCTTTATTAGTTTCATTTTAGATAACGTTTTTAAGATTATTTCAAGGTCACACACACACACACACACACACACACAACCCGATTTTTTAAAATGAAACTATTCTATATGTCTCGTGTAAATAGATAACTATATGTAAATAGATTTCAGAAATTTGTTAAAAATAAAAAGATATAATATTTTATATCCTTTATAGGTGGAACAAACCTAAATTTACAAATGGAGTGATACAAAAATATACAGTTCAATATTGGTTTTTTGAGAATCAAATAATTCATAGAAGAGTTGCTATAATCTCAAATTTCACGATATTGCAACTTAAAGTGTACAAGTTAAAACCTGATAAAGTGTATTATTTCGAAGTACAAGCGCATAACAAATTTGGTGCTGGCTCTTATACTAAGTTTATCAATGTGTCGACCACACATGAGAATCCAGTACCTTTATTACTCGTTAAAAAAAATGGTAGATTTTATGTATTGGATATAGATTTACAGATCGGCTTTGAACGTGATATATATAAATACTGTACTGACATCGTTTACTCAGCATTGGAACATAAGATTTATGGGATTACTTCCAACTTAAATTTAATAACATTGGAATTTAATCCAAATGCAATCGAAACGAATCAAAATTATACAATAATAGCAGAAATCGGGTACAGTGCATATTCTCTGTGCATCGATTGGATTGGTGGCAGTCTTTATTGGTTAAAATATGATATTGACGGTCATATTTACATTATGAAATTCGACTTAATATTACTACAACAAGAAAGCATCAAAACATACGAAAAAATCGCACTGGCTGCAAAGCATACTTTATTTTTAAAAGCATTGCCATATAATAGGTACATTAAATTTAAGTAATCTAACAAATTGAACAATATATTGTGTTTTTTTTAATTAAAGATTTGTGTTGTTCTATAACTTGTTAATTTAATATGCAAATTTTGTATTAAAGATCCATAAGTATTGCAATCATAAATTTACATAGAAACGTATAAGATATAAATAAACATATATTAGTATGTGATAGCTAATTATAATAATGTTTCAATAAATATGAGCAATATAAATATTTTTCAGACATTTCTATTGGAAAGTAGATTCTTCAATAGTGCAAACGGATTTGAATGGTAGAAACAAATTATATATGGCAGACAATAAATGCTTCTGCCTCAAGACATTTGTAGGATTGCTACAATATGAGTACCCTCTCATGACGATTGATACAACGAATATTGACGAGCCGCTAATATATTGGATAATAAACAATGAATATTTAATCGTAACGGATATTAATGGTTGTAATTGCAATATAATTTTAAAATTTACAAATCAATTAACTTATCGTATTAATGATATAGTAATTGATAGTATAAATATTTACTTGATTTCTTATAAAAAAATATATATTTTAAGAAAGGGAAATGCTCTTCTCGAAAGCAAAAAAAACATATTTGAATGTTTTAAAAAAATCCAATTAATTGCGAACATGCATCAATACATAGCTCTTGATAAAACTTTACAATCATATCCCTCGAAGAAATGTCTAATATCTACGAAAAATTATCGTGTTGAAGAAATGTTAATAACTGCAAACAGCATTAAGGTGAACCTTCCGGAGCCGAATCCCAATGACGAATGTAAAAAGTACAATTTTACTTTTATATATAACATCTCTGTGAGTTATTTAAAATGTTTAGACAATGATCTTAACAAATTTGAGAAATTTCATGTTCAAACGTACGAACGGCAGTACGAATTCCAAAATTTGACGCAGTTGACAGAATACACGTTAAAGCTGGCATTGAGCAATTTTTACATCTACAAGATATCGATGGATTTGCAATTCGGCCCAGATGTAAAACTGATAACTACGGGCAAGCTCTATGCACCGGATGATGTAGTAGTTCAAGTTGTAATGCCAAATCTGGCGGTAATTGATTGGATGCCACCGAAAAAATTAGGTTGCGTGGCAGTGAATTATGAGGTGAAATGGATGCAATATTCAAATAGCACTCAAGAAAATCAAAATTTGGTTCGCTTCATAAAAGTCAATAAACTAGAACATACGACAAATGGCAAGATTTTTGCGGTAATTCGGTCACTGATACCAAAGCAAAAATACGAGATATACGTGAGTGTGTATCCAATCATTCGCACAGATGTCGTCACTGACAGTGTAATAAAAACAATCTACATATCCGAATCGAATAATTTAAGTTTGAATGGGATCGGTACAAACAGTATGAATATCTCGTGGATTCCAAGCGTTAATCTGACAATTCCTATAGAATTTCTTATATTGGAATACAAAAATGTTGCGTCGCGAAAGTGGAGATGGACAATTGCAAATTATATTGAAGTGAATAACTACAAAATAACATATTACGTAGAAAATTTATTGCCGAAAACTCTATACAAATTTCGTCTGAAATTGAAGTATACTGAGTATAGAAAAGATTTCATATGGCCGTCTAATGGAGAAGCATTTATTTTTGAAACGCTCGGTTGGCAAATGAAGACGTTATGAAAACATGGGTTTACTTTAAGAATATCTTAAAAATTTTTTCGCATTAGAAATTGAATAATGAAGTTTTAAATAAAATGTCTTAAAAATAATATGAGAAATATGTGCATGAAGAATCGCCAGATAGAAATAAAAATAAAATAATGAACACCCGACCAAACTGGCAAAATTTTATTAATTCACTTTACAACGTTTCAACCATGATTTAAGTCCTCAGCAAGTGATTTGCGAAATGTAGTTTTAATTTTAAGAAGTAAGCGAGTGAGTACATTGTGTCACGCTGACATCATGTCCTTGACATTACTTGGCTTACTTCCTAAAATTTTAACTACATTTCGCAAATCACTTGCTAAGAATTTAAATTATGGTCGAAACGTTGTGAAGTGAATTAATAAAACTTTGCCAGTTTGGTCGAAAGAAGAGTGTTCATCATTTTATTTTTTTTGAAATATGTGTCGACTAACTGGCAATTTATTAATCTTATTACGTTTCAACCTCTCCTTGGTGTTCATTTCAAGTAATGTAGTTTTTAAATATTATCATATAATATTTTAAATAAAAAATCCAATAAAACGAAAAATTGTACTTTTGTGTAACAAAGGTGATGCAAGAAAGATTTCTAGCGCAATTGGGACAATTATGCAATATTATCTGCCATTAATATTATGTCTTATTGTAATCATTGTAATATACAATGTTTACTACTTTTATTGTAGTAAGTATTATTTCATATAAATTTTGGATTTTTATTATAAATTGTTTAGATTTGGTATATAGATATACGAACATATAAAATCTTAAAAAGAATTAAGATATTGCAATGCGTAGCATTATGTCGTGTATTAAAAGTTTTTTTATATGACAGCATACAGGCAACGCAAAAGAAGTAACGAAATAGTTTCGCCTCCAATAATGATGAATACGGAATTAGTATCTTTAAATGAAATACCTTTCGGGTGCACTCAACTAAATTTGCTGGACCCTCCTAGATTGCAATATAATTCAGACGAATTTGCGTTGATTATAATCGAAAAAAATTAAATTATCCAAACAAAGTTTCTAGGTAGCGGCGCATTTGGTACTGTAAGTATTAGTTTGTTATTATTTAAATATAGTTTTAAGATATTTTTTTATTTTTTAATCGCTTAAATTTATGGTAAAACATATTTTTAAATAAAAGTAATTGTTAAAATTAAAATTTCTTTGATAAAGTCAAATAGGATAAACATTTTTTGCATACATATTATCGATTTGTCTGTTAATTATGTAATATTTTGCAGGTATATCAAGGAATCATCAAAGATTTTGAAAGGTTGGACACAACACCAGTTGCAATAAAAATGCTAAAAAGACAAGCATCTTTGAAAGAGAAAAAAGAATTCTTGAAAGAGGCTAAGCTTATGAGCCACTTTCGACATAAAAATGTGCTAAGAATATTAGGCATTTGTTTGAACACGAATTCATCGTTACTTATATTGGAATTAATAGAATCTGGTGACTTATTGAATTATTTAAGAAATAATGGAACATTGCAATCGTCAGATCCGTGCGCGTTGCGTCTGAAAGACTTGCTCGCCATGTGCGAAGATGTTGCTCGAGGCTGTTGTTACTTAGAAAGACAGCAATTTGTGCATAGAGATCTCGCGTGTCGAAATTGCTTAATATCCGTAAGAAATCATGGAAACCGTATTGTGAAAATCGGCGATTTTGGACTAGCTAGAGATATTTATTCAGATCACTATTACCGTACGGTAAATACAATTATTTGAGAGAGCTAAAACTTTTATTCTATTTTTTTATAATAATACAATTTTAAGCTGATTATAATAGTAAAAGTAAATTATTTTTATTTGTATACCTGTGGAAGAGGAAGGGAAATGAGGGTTAACTATATGCAGATAACGCCTGTTTCTAAATTTCTGGACAAGTTCCATAAAAAAACTTTATTGTGCTATATGATTGTGTTTTAGGAAGGAGAACGCATGCTTCCTATTTGCTGGATGGCACCGGAATCTTTAGTGTTTGGAATATTTACTTCACAAAGCGATGTATGGGCTTTCGGGGTACTAATGTGGGAAATTATGTCATTGGGTGAACATCCTTATCCTGCCAAGAATAATTCCGAAGTTTTAAAGTATGTGCGTGAGAGAGGCAAACTGCCAAAACCTCTTAACTGTCCACCGATATTGTATCAGTTGATGCTACATTGTTGGAAATCTGCATTTGGTAGACCAAACTTTACAAATTGTCTCAAAAATATCAAAACCTTAAGAAATAACGTAAAAGATTCGATACTTATAGTTAATGCGTTGGATATTATCGGACGTAGTGAGACGAATCAATCGTAATTATTTTTATGTGTATATAGTTTTGTATGGAGCAATGAATTTTACAAATCTAGATAATATCTATTAAAATTAATTAATGAAAGGCTCGTATAATTTAACAAAATTAAACAAATCATATATAGTAGGCCAACTGAACGAGCAAATAAATAAGGTGTAAAAATTTTTTTAATAGTTAAATAATTGAATTAACATTCCGTTACAGAATCGATATAAATTGTAAACGTTTCGACTGCACTACAGTCTTTATCAATACATAAAAGTTAAATATTAAAATACAAAGTTAAATGTTAAAAATACAAAGTTAGTTAAATATTAAAATATAAAATTGAAACGATTCTTCGCTGTTGACCAATAGATATGCAAGGCGATTGGTCTGAGATGCCAAGTTATGCGACATTTGAGCATGCTACGGATATAATACGCGAATTAAATCAATGTCAGAGAGAATTAAAAAATCTTTCAACTTACATTATCGTTTTAACAAGTCCTTTTCCCCGATATTTCAAGTGTGTGTTGCGAAGTCTGAATACCAAATGTCAAAATAGAGAGCGTGATGTATTTATTTATTATCAATGTTTTTTCTAAATTATGATTCAGCAAATTTTTTAAGTATGTCAAAATAACTACTGTCTAACAATTCGGTGTCTGTATTTAAATTAATTCCATTTTTCTGTTCTTTAATGTGGATCATTTCAGATATTAGTCTTTTATGGTAGTTCTTTTCGTGATCCATAATTTTAATATTGTCCCAGTCAAACGGCATCAATAATAGATGGCATTTTATAGAGTCACACACAAAGATTCCCAAAAATGAATTCATAGGTATGATAAAATTTATATTAACTTCTACATTTTTCACTTTTAATAACATAACTTACAAACAAATTTATGGGACTCCTATGGGTTCCCCACTTTCTCCGATCATTGCCGATATAGTCATGCAAGACTTGGAAACATTAGTAATTAGTAATTTAAATTGCGAAATGACTTTCTATTTCCGTTATGTAGACGACATTATTTTATGCACTTCCGCTGACAATATTACATATGTTTTGAACGAATTCAACAATTATAACGATAGACTACAATTTACATTGGAAAAAGAGGATAATCGTTGTATAAGCTTTTTAGACATAATGATCAAAGTAATAGATAATAAAATTTATTTAGATTGGTATCACAAAAAGACATTCTCAGGTAGATTACTTTCATTTTTTTCAAATCATCCGACTTGTCATAAAATAGGAACAATTTATAACTTGGTAGATAGAGCTTTATTACTATCACATCCGCAATTTCACAAAAAAAATATAGAGAAAGCTATTAACATTTTGCTATCCAACGGTTATCCTCTTGATCTAATTTTCACAGAAATAAAACGCAGATTAAAAAATCTCTCAACTAAGAAATTTAACAAGCCTAATAATAACAATATAACAGATACCAATAATACTAATACTAACATTAAATATTTTGTCATACCATATATAGAATCAATATCGGAGAAAGTTGCTTCAGCAATAAGAAGACCTGACGTAGTGGTAGGATATCGTTGCATTAAAAAATTGAATGACTTCATAAGAGTTTAAAAGGACAAAAATAATTGCCCCACGAATTCTAATGTTATTTATAAATTGAATTGCAACGATTGTGACGCCACATATGTCGGACAGACAAAAAGACAGTTAGGAACGAGACTTAAAGAACATAAAAATAATATTAAATTAGACTCTGCTAGACATTCGGTTGTCACAGAACACATTCTAAACGAACAACATACATTTGACTGGGACAATATTAAAATTATGGATCACGAAAAGAACTACCATAAAAGACTAATATCTGAAATGATCCACATTAAAGAACAGAAAAATGGAATTAATTTAAATACAGACACCGAATTGTTAGACAGTAGTTATTTTGACATACTTAAAAAATTTGCTGAATCATAATTTAGAAAAAACATTGATAATAAATAAATACATCACGCTCTCTATTTTGACATTTGGTATTCAGACTTCGCAACACACACTTGAAATATCGGGGAAAAGGACTTGTTAAAACGATAATGTAAGTTGAAAGATTTTTTAATTCTCTCTGACATTGATTTAATTCGCGTATTATATCCGTAGCATGCTCAAATGTCGCATAACTTGGCATCTCAGACCAATCGCCTTGCATATCTATTGGTCAACAGCGAAGAATCGTTTCAATTTTATATTTTAATATTTAACTAACTTTGTATTTTTAACATTTAACTTTGTATTTTAATATTTAACTTTTATGTATTGATAAAGACTGTAGTGCAGTCGAAACGTTTACAATTTATATCGATTCTGTAACGGAATGTTAATTCAATTATTTAACTATTAAAAAAATTTTTAAACCTTATTTATTTGCTCGTTCAGTTGGCCTACTATATATGATTTGTTTAATATCTATTAAGATATATTGCTTATTTACTTTTTTTTACATTTTATAATACAGTTAATGTTATATTTAATCATTTTTTTTACTAATATTACAATTTAAGTCATAAACTTTATTTACAATATGTTGAAATTGTATTATGTTTATTATGTATATATTTTTTTAATATAAATATGATATTTTAAATTGGCCAATAGAGCCTAAGCGTGAAAAATTAATTCTTCGGAACTGTATCTCTTGGTTTGAGATTACTAAGTTCCATATATAAATTAATATCGAAATTACATATGGAGAAATATGGAAAAATCTAACATCTACTAAAAGGCAAATGAAAAATATAGGATCGAAAGGGTCTGAATAGTTTGTTGGTAAGAGCAGTCGCCCGGAAAGTGAAACACGCGGGTTCGATTCTCGCTTCAGCGACTTTTCGGACCTATATTTTCCTCGCCTATTTCTCCATATGGAAGTTCGCGATTAATTATATGGAACTTAGTAATCTCAAACCAAGAGATACAGTTCCGAAGAATTAATTTCTCGCGCTTAGGTTCTATTGGCCGATTTAAAATATCATATTTATATTATTATTAATATTGAGAGCCGATAAAAATATTTCTTATCTGATATTTTTTTAACTTACAGTTATAGACAATACTGCATCAAGTGGCATTTAAAATGTAATTTATAATTATTATAAAAATAATTTACGAGAATAATGTTATTTACAAATTACATGTCAAAAATGCAAACTGATAATATAAGTTTTCTTTTCAATTATGACTTAATTATCCATACATTGTTTTTTATTTACTATTGATGCATTTATTCATTATTTCCTTTTTGTTTATATTAATAATTTACCATGTACGCATTTTACATAAAGAATTCAGCAATTCGAAAAAACATTTCTTAGATTTGATTAGTTTTTGGTATTGCACTCCGTTGCAGTTAAAATAAAGAAAGTATTTATATTTACAATCTTTATATGGAGAGAATAAAGGAAATACGGAAAATATATTCAATATTTGTATATAAGGTTCAAATATAGATAAATCTTTACAAAGTAGATAATCATTTATTATATGTATAATTTTTTGAAGCTACTTTAATTTGTCGAATTTTAATTATATTATTTGTCGCACATATAAATTTATACTGTCAGTATTTGTTGCATTTAATTTAAAAATTGCGACAAATATTGTTTCGATGTAGTTAATGCAATAAATAAATTGACAAGTTTAACTTGTAAATATTCGATCAACGTTTTGTATAATGTCAATCTCTAAATAATAGCAAGATAATTTTAATGATACTGCAAACGTATTGTAAAAGAATAAGTGAATTTACTACATCGGGAAAATAAAATATATTATCTATATTATTCATGATAAATTTTCATGCAACAAATATAAAGAAAAAATCTTTCATTGGTGGATAGCTTAGATCTTTCTAAGTAACGTAAACTACATGTAATCGTATTACAAACTTCTAAAAATGTGCGCGTATTATACAAAAAAAATTTTTACGCTTTATATTTTTCCAACAATTTTATAATTTAACGTTGTACCGTAAATAATTCATACTATATTTATACAAATGTAAGGGTGAAAATTTTATCAAAATTGGTCGTGTAGGTTTTACGTTAAATTATTATATTATTGGAAAATATAAAAAGTAAAGAACCCATTTTTTTATGACGCGTACATTTTTAGAAGTTGCAAGACGATTGTACGCATAATCTATGTTACTCAGGAGGATATACACCAGTAAGACATTTATTAATTTCTCAAATTATCCCAAACAATAGAACAAACAAACTTTACCTCTTAATATGTATATTAGTCTAGATATAGATAGAAGTATAGATAAGTAAGTAAGTATAGGACTTTGGCTTGAAATCTACTCGCCTTTTTGCTACGTAAAAATATAAAATTATAAAGCAAATTAGAAAATAAAATAAAGAAAACACATAAAAAACAAAATTTAAAAAACATTAAAAATACAAGCAAAATCTTTAAAAAACTAACATATGTAAATTATTAGTTCAAGTTTGAAAGTATTAATAGTATAAAAAAATAATATTGCAACTCTAAATAAATAAAAACATAAAAGCTTTAACATACTAAAAACGAAAGTATATTAAAAATAAATAAGATATAAGAGCGAAACGCGGATGACGTTAATTACACCGAGAATTAATTTTTTGCTGTAACTAATTAATGTGCGCCAACACAAATATTTTCTTAGCATACTATTAAGATTTATTTCAGGAAATGTATCTCAATCCGAAATTACTACACGGAAAAAAAGAATTAGCTACTATTGCTAAATTTTAGCTGACCATATATAACATCCTGAATTTTAGTTATCGTGCCTAAATTTTAGCTATGGTAACTAATATTTTTTAGCCATAGTTTAACGCGAAGAATGTTATAACTAAAAAATATTAATTGTCATAGCTAAAATTTAAGCATGATAACTAAATTTCATGTGTAATATATGGACAGCTAAAATTTAGCTATGGTAGCTAATTTTTTTCTGTGTAAATTTGCTTATTTCTTCCTAACCCTTTTGTAGAAAAAAAGACGAGAATAATATTGGTCCGCAAGTCGTTGAATCAAAAACTGAATCCGA